GGGCCACGTCACAGGCTGGCAGGGCAGCACCACAGCTCTGGCTGGGCTTCTCCTCACTTCTCACCAGGCAGCCTGCAGGGAGAGGAAATAGCAGATAAACCATCAGGCACTGCTGTGATGAGCGGGGTCTGTGCTCAGCCACGTGAACGACCCTTGTGAGGTGCCTGTCAACCCTGCAGGGAGGCCAGGCTCTGCCCTGCATCCTGGGGAGGAGCATCCCATGAATCTGGGAGAAGGTGGCCACCAGCATCCACCGATTGCCTGCTCTGAGCGCGGCACCCGTGCAGCCTCCTGCTCCCCAGCAGCTGCCTGGCACCTCCTGCAGCTCCTCTGCCACGTCCTACTGCTGCCCTGTCTGCCACGGTCTTGGGAGCTATTCCAGTCTGGGTACCTGCACCAGTGCTGCTGCTGTACTGGGTGCAATGTTTTTCCTTCGTTTTTGCGGTTGGGGCAGGGTTGTTTTCGGGTTTGGGTTTTGCCCCCCACCCCGGGCTGCATTAGAGGCCCAGCAATCAGCAAGGGAAGCCCTTACTGCTGCTTTAATTAAAAAAACACCATTAATAGCTGTCTGCACTGCTCACGACACCCCCAACTCTCCTGGCGTGCCCAAGGACGCCGGGTGTTGGGCTACATGTGACATCCACCTTCCATCATACAACCCAGGCAAGGGGCACAGGCGGATCGCTGCCATCACAAACAAAGTGCCACAAACCCCACACGCAGCATTTTTGGCAGCTCAGTGTAGGCTCTCACCGCCCGCAGCTGGGGCATGGCAGGTCACTGGATCCGGGCAACGGAAGCCGAGGGCTGAGCTGCCTCCCATCCATCAGGATGCCTGGGAGCCAGGGACGCCGGCTGCAGTTATTGCTGCGGGATGACTCATTTTTGGCAGGGGGGGGGGGCTTGTCCTGCCTGGGCATCAATTAAGACAACAAAAGGCATCCTGCATCGCTCCAGCGGCGCTTCTGGGGTGTCCAGCCTGCCCCTTTCGAGGATCAGAAGGAGCCTGGTCGGGAGCCAGCTGTGACGGAGAGGGACACCAGCATTCCCAGCTGGCTCTTCCCTGCATCCCAATGCTGTCAAGACCTGGGATATGCTGGTGATTACTGTGGGGGAAAGCAAGGCTGAGGACAGTCCTGGATCAGCCACCCCGTCCCGGCAGAGCCACCC